TCATCATCGTCATCATCATCACAGAGGTTACAGATCCTCTGGTTTCTGTCCAGCCCGTCACATCTTCACTGACTTCAGGACTTCTGGTGTTATTTACTCTAAAGTTACAAACAGCCTTTTTTGTTTTCATGCCACAGATCCTTCTCCAGTTTAAACTCTTGTTTAAATATATATTATATACCACATGATGTCACACTGCTGAGCTCACTTTACCACTTTTGTATTAGCCTCTGTTCATCAGTTAGTTTGAACCAGCTGATGTTGTTACACTTTGGTGTAGTGATGGGCAAAGCAGTTCTTTAGATGTTACTGAATCACTAAAGGAACACATGCATCCCCCCAGAGCACTTACAGGTTCACATTCAAGACCATTCGCACCTGTCCCTGAACAATGCAACAGGCATCCCCCCAACAAATCCAGAACATTCAGAACCTGTTTTTCTATCTCCTAATGCTACAAACTGCTGCTTGGGCAACACTGAGAAAAATAGCTCAGGATCATTTAGAAGTTAAAAAACAAACAAAAAACTACAAAGATACAGGGAGTTTCAAATACTGCTATAGATGTTGGAGTTTCAAATACCCCATACAATTTATTCATGTGTTTAATTATGGTCTAAGCTAAACTAAGTAAAAATTTAACAGAAAAGCACATTTAGAGCTTCGTTACAATGAATCATGTAATACTTTAAATTTCTACTACATTTTTTTTCAATTTGTGACCATGTGAGAAGTGCAGTGACCTTATGTAATGTGTAAGGAAGCACAGGCTATTTTGACTACCACACTGACCCAACGTTGTAGAATTACAACATAGACATAACAAGCTATAAATCAAATTTGATGAATGTTTTCCAAAATAACTAAATATGTACATGTTCTAGACATTGTAATAAACACAAAAAAAATATTTAAGGAATTTTACTTACTTTAATCCTGACAAATCCAGTCATGCAAAAAAAGGAGATGAGCTCAACGGGAAGTTGGCAGGTAGAGTGCGTTCATGGCCAGATGACCAGACCTATAAACACTTCTTCTATCCAACAGCATTGTGAGGACAAACAATAGGACCCATTAACTATGTAAATGTGGTCTTGAGAAAAAAAAAAAAAAACATTTGCAGGCCTTTTTTTTAGAATTGTTAAAAGTGATGTTGTAAATTTGCAACAGTGGGTTTTACAGGGTTAATTCTGATTGGTGGACCCATACAGACTAAAGGAATATGAATAAGATAATGGGTAATCGAAGAATGGACTCGTATTCTGATTTTTTGACAGCTTCAGAGATAGGGAGTCACTGCTTGTTCTTTCATTGCGGTGGTATATCTGAATAAATTGCAGTCTTCTCTGGTGCTCATGGTTTCAGTAAAATGAACTGAACAATTGAATTGTGGAGAATTTAACCAAACTAACAAAGTGTAGCATATTTATTTGTCAGAATGTGTAGCCACACCAGGTTAGTAAAAGGGACTGGGCATTTAATTGGGACCAGGCTTTTAATTGAAGTTTTATGATAATCATACCCACCATTTGCTGAAATAGGTCCTTAGATCTTGATGATAATCAGAAATGAAGCATTTGACTTTTCATCAGATGCGGTTGCCGTGGCAACACCTTTTTCGACATACCTGTTAAGCCCGAAAGTCCCCCAATGTGAGACTTTGAGAGCGACTTTGCAAGCACAGTGTGAAACAATACACTGATCACGAAGAATATAGTGATGTTTCACATCAAATTAAACAGCAGAACCTGGGCTACAAGGCTGTAAAAACCCTTTTTACATGCCCCAAATACAGGTCAAACAACAGCTAATTAAAAAACAACAAATCCAACTCCATACAGCACCGATATCCCGACCCACTCGGTATATTTCGGGCTCTAACTCGACCACACTTTACGCAGAACACACACCGTTCATCTCAAATGAAAGCTGAGACTCTGTTTCCACACATATGCACCAAAGCACTCTACGCCAAACCATCAGAGAGCTAGAGGCCAAAGAACAACAACAGAGATCTTTTCGCCAAAATATATTTGTAATATCTCTCTTACCGTGTTGTTTTTGATGTGAAAAGCGCATTCTGCCGTTGAAACACGCTTCATTCCAGTTCACCGTGATGTTATCTGTCATTCAAATGAATCTGGGTGGAAAAACTTGCCGGCCGGAGGTTCTGGGGGAAGCATAACAATGACCACTCATAGCAGCTGACATCGCCCCACAACGCGTACACAGCACTGTAACGCGTGGCTTACAGTGCTGTCAAGTTTTAGTGGGTATAGTGCCACTCTATTGGTTCTAACGAATCAAACGAGGTCTCAATCACTCAAATCGGCCAAGACATCACGGAGATACGGGCCTCCAAAGCTCAGAATAGAAACTCAGTTTCAAATGTAGTAGGTGTGTATTGGTCAGTTTGGAGTGGGAAATCGAGAAAAAGAAAAAAAACGGACAGTTGTATGTGTATATCCTAAACATCATTAGGGATTTACAGAAACAAAAAATGAAAGATATAGGATTATGCATGACAAAAATGTGCCATCTTCATTTACTCTTCACATATAACACATTTACTGATATTTACACATCTTATCAAATCTCACAAGTGTTCCCTTTACCATGACACCAAAAGTATTCAAATAGACCTTGTGGTTGCAGAGATATATTCATTTCATTATGGATATGCAATTTTTGAGCAGAGGCCTATAAAATAGGCTTAGCTTTGAAAAGGTTAAGGGGCAAGGGATGCTTGAAAACTCATGAAACTTGTCATACATCTGAAGTCCTAAAATGTGTTATCTGATGTGACAGGGGTGCTCAGTAGTGCCCCTTAAAAAATTTCAACCGAGCAGCCCTGCAGTTTGTTTCACCTAGAGGTATGAAAATTAGGAGGCACAGGTAACATCCCAAGACATAGAAAAAAAAGCCTTTTGGAGCCATGCCCTAAACCCAACAGGAAGTCATCCGTTTTGAATTAAATGTTTGATTTTGGGCCATTTTCAGGGGTCGTACTTTAAAGAACTCTTCTTACAGATTTGATCTGATCAACTTTGAATTTTTTCTGTAATAATTTAAGACCTTTAACATCAAATGCCGAGTTTTCGTCAAACTGTGTCACTGTGGCAAGGCGTCAAACTTCCAGGTTTAGCCGCCAAACAGGAAGTCGTTGTAACTTCCGTGTACCTTGTCCAATCTGCCCCAAACTTCACATGTTTTGTAAGGCTTCAGTCCCAAAGCCAACTACATGTGTGTAAGGTGTCATGGTGATTGCTCCACTTAATGGTGACAGAAAGAAAGACTTGTCAAACAATTATCTTTTGATTTACCTGAAATTTACATGGTGGTGTCTACAATTGATTTACAGCAACATGACACATAATTAGTGTGTTCTCCAGTACCACACAGTGGATACAGAATATGGTACAAAATGTTCAATAGGTCATTCCAATGCCCACACTCTAAGACGGGAGTACCAACTTACTCCTGCGTGCAGGGTCTGACTTTCACAGAAATGAACAGTGGCATCAGTTGGCATCCTGGCAGCACCCCCGAGTTGCATGAAGGTGCGAGGGCCCGATCATCGCTGCTTGCAGCTTTGATTATTATTATCATTATTTTACCAAGTGTGTACTGCCTTGTCTGAGACGTTGGGGGAAAAAAATTGCATCCCAATGGCTACCTATTTGCTGCCTTGCCACTGATAAAGCCACCCTGACTCACAGTGTTGGGACAGTTTTGTTGCAGAGGCATTATGCCCACCGTCTGATCCACCCATTAGCTGTCAGCCGCCTGCTGACCTCTAGCATGTTGAGAGCTGTGTGCCAGCAATGCAGGCCCAGAAAACTATACAAGACAGTTGGGGTCTGATAAAGGGCAACTTTACTGTACTTCACTTTCAACATCCATCCATCCATCTTCTTTTTTAATAGGGGCCTGGCCACAGTGATGGGACACTCTCCCCCCTTTGGTTGTGCCTTGACATCCTGCCCATGAATATCACAAACAGATTTGGAGGTGAAAAACTATTAAAACATGTGTGACTTTGACCTGAGAATACATTGGTAATATATGAACTACATGGCTTGTGGGCTGGGGACATTGTCATAACATGAATGCTAATAGTGCACTGCGTCTTCCCCATGTGTAAATAAGCTAGCACATATAATTGCTTATATGATAGCCATATCAATGTCATGAGGTAATGTTTTTTGTAAAGTGGTAGTCACAAAACAAAACAAAAACATCAGTCAATGCATTGTTAACAAGACTTTACTGTTGTGGGGCATATCAGTATGCCTAATAAGTCTAATTTTCTAAACCTTACATCAGGTTCATCCTGCATTATTTACCGATGTGTAAATTACAAAATTACTATTTTAAATGTCAGGATATATTGTGCCAATATGATTATTATTTTAGAAATGGACATTTTTTGTCTGGCACAACAGAATTTTCTTATCTGATAATATATGAATTTCAAGGTATTATGCATGAATTGTCAGCTACTATTTGTAAACAGTTTTGCCAGCAAAGGTGAATTTGAAGACCAACTGTTCGCCTTGCTATATTTGCATTTTTTTTGGCACTGTGCAGTGTGACACCTGGTTGCTACCTTTTTTTAAAGTCCCAACCTTACCTGTGTGCTGTGCCCAGGAATGTCCCAGACATAGCAAAATAATATGAAAATATGAAAATGCAGGAAGAGGGCAGAGTCTCTGCGATAAATACACTGCCACACATTTATAACTGGATAATAAGTACTGATTATAAGGAAAATCCTGTATGGTATACCTTTAAGATATTCAGAATAGGATAATGCAGAAAACTCTTTTGTTTGGACACCTTCTTCCTGTTGCCTCACCTTGTAGGTCCACAGAGATAAAACATCACTGTTCGATTATAATTTTTTATGCTGCTCCCAAATGTATAAATACCAGTGCAAGCCTCTAATTTGCATTTATGTGTGATCCTAACCCAGTGGTTAAGCTGTCAGAGACAGTACGATGTTAATGCAGAGGTGGCCAGAAAAGGGTTGGACACTCTTACAGCTGTTGGTAGTGGCCTCTGTCTCTCAGGCTGAGGAGCTGGTGTGCAGGCAAAGAGGGAATCCAGAGAACCCCCAGCTATCTAAGGATGGAGACATTTTGCTGGGGGGAATCTTCTCTTTCCACAGAAGCTGGAAAACCAGGCAGGACAACTACATGCACAAGCCACTGCCACTGCAATGCACCAGGTAAATTAGACTGTAAACACGAGTTAGATTTCAACTATCTAAGTGGAAGTGGGTACAGATACATAACAGGCACAGCAAAGAGCATCAAACTAAGTATTAAAATATGAGATATTCTCTTTCTTGTGTCTTAATACTATCAAATGCTTTTTATTTCCTGTGCAGCTGTTTCTATTGCAAGGATACATTGTTTGCAGTTCCAATATTCATATTTGTCAACATCTAGTTTGAATTTCAGAGGTTTCCAGTATACCCAGGCTATGCTCTTTGCCATAGAGGAGATTAATAACAGAACAGACCTGCTGCCAGGCGTCTTTTTGGGCTATAAAATCTATGATGTCTGTAGCTCCATTTCCAGAGGTGTGAGGGTTACACTGGCTTTGACTAATGGTAATGAGGAGTCATCTGCATCCTCCCAGGGACCATGTACCAAGTCAGCCCAAGTGCAGGCCATTATTGGAGAGACCTCTTCCTCTCCTTCCATGGCTATAGCCTCTGTAATCGGACCCTTTCATATCCCAATGGTAAGTAATGGTAACATTGGTTAAAACAAATATTGTCCTGTAATTCTTACAAAATGGGTTTTTTAAACATTTAGCACTTTATAACCATTTCAAATAAATGGTAAATTGATAGTTAATTAAACCTATATTAATTTTAATGATAATCAATAAAGAAATAATAATTTAATTCTCTTTACTAATAGTAATGCAATAATTTATAATAATGTAACAGTTTGTTGTTACACACATTTTAACATTTTATATACTGCATTTAGTGTTGATTAAGAAATAGATCAAATATTGTATAGTATGTAAACTTTTAAGAAACAAATTGAGATTGATTAACTACAGTACAGGCCAAAAGTTTGGACACACCTTCTCATTCAATGCGTTTTCTTTATTTTCATGACTATTTACATTGTAGATTCTCACTGAAGGCATCAAAACTATGAATGAACACATGTGGAGTTATGTACTTAACAAAAAAAAGGTGAAATAACTGAAAACATGTTTTATATTCTAGTTTCTTCAAAATAGCCACCCTTTGCTCTGATTACTGCTTTGCACACTCTTGGCATTCTCTCCATGAGCTTCAAGAGGTAGTCACCTGAAATGGTTT